TTTTTGTTGACCTTTGTCCATGGAAGGTCCCTGCAAAATTTCATTGAAATTGGTTCAGGGGTTTTGGAGAAGAAGTCGAAAATGTAAATTGTTTACGGACGCACGACGGACGACGACGGACAAAAGGCGATCGCAATAGGTCACTTGAGACTTTGTCTCAGGTGACCTAAAAATCTACTTTTTCTGATATCTTTCTGAAAACATATCTCGGGAGTGTCTATGTTTTTTAAATACTTTTATTAACTTGCTTTGTTTGTAAAACTGAACAATGTGCTTAGTAATAAGAAGTTAACATCACAATGTATTATAATTGTAGACTGATATTTTATGTTTTTAGGATTATGAAGAGCTAATATATGAGATAAAATGAAAGTCTAAATAATTATATAAGGACACACTACTTCACTCTTTCTGTGAATCCAAATTTTCTTGCATATATCTGACCAAACTTACATCAGACATATTGTCAGTTCTAAGTGAGCATAAATGTGATTCATCAGATTTAAAGATTGTTATACATCAATCAGATAATTAAATAATAGTTACCATGGATACCATGTGATTGACATAACCTATCTTTATCCCTTCTTCACACATCTCTCTGGCTTGGGAAATCTGAAATTATAAAAAAAATTATGGTTGGTAAATGTCAATGTGAAGGGTATAACTGGTGTTACCTAGGTAGGTAGGAAGTTTTATAAAACAAGGATAAGGTGTGCATTTAATTTTAACTGGTACAGTATGGGAAGTATATATAAATAATCAGTGTTTGATAAATACAGACTTCATATAGTTGTAGAAAGTTTCCCTTACTTCATATATGCAAAATTTAATATTATAAGTTATCACACAATATTTGTCACTGACTATCATATTGAAAGACTTCAAGTCTTTCATAATCAAAAAAAAACATCTTATGTGGACAATCTATATCAACTCTAGAATTGTGTGTGTATCCTAGGTCAACAAGTACAAAAGTTAATGATACAGGTCACCTAGTACAGGTCATGTACCAAGGTCATTTGTAAAGGTCAACAAGTAAAGAGGTCACTTTAGCAGGTCATGAAGAGCAGAGGTCAGTTATACAGGTCAGTGAGTACAGAGGTCGTTTGCACAGGTCATTTAGTACAAAAACAAGGTTCCTAACTCACCTGTCTGGGGTAACACTTGAGTCGCTCTATGTAGACTTTAAAGTCAGCTTCCTTCTCAAACTTAGAAAAGCTTAGTAGTAGATGTATATCATTGTGAATGCCATCTTGGAATGTAATCGGGAAACACCACCTATAGACCAATTTGCAAATGGATGTAATTCACTGTTTAAGTTAACACACTTTTTCGTGTAAGCAATTTGAAAAGGCAGGCATTTAATATATGCAGTGGACATAACCACTAGTGTCAGACTTTTGTAAGAACTTATTAAAATAATTTATTTTCAAAACAATACTTTTACTATTTACAAATGTACTTGGGAGTCAGCCTTGTGTCCTCACAAATGAACAGGAGTTTGCAATGAAATACACTAGTCAGAGATTTACATAAAATTTAAAAGACAAAATAAAATTGCCCATTGTTTTCAAACAAAGTCATCCAGAGGAATCAAAACACTGACAGCTATATGGAAAGCATCCTCAATGTCCAGGGGTTTCACTCACTTTCGCTCTCTGCACCCCTGGAATATGTCATTGAAAATTGAAGGCTCAGTGTGTGCCACCTTATTGATGAGACAAGACGACTAGTTTGATCCTTTGATGTACATAAAAAAGAATCTCACGTTCGCGTAACAGTAAAAAATGACAGGCTCTGAAAATGAGTGTCGATCCTTTGTAATCTTCAAAGGACATGTATCAGTGTAGCGATTTGTCGGTTTTTTTTTACCCGAGACCAATCAAACAGCTATCTTTCTGCCTTCAATTTTGCTATGAAATATTCCAGGGGTGCAGAGAGCGAAAGCCCTGGATATCGAGGAAATGGATAGTTACCCGTTAAATTTGCAGGCCAGTAGGAAAGTCTTGAATTCCTCTTTGAGTAGTGCGAGGTCAAGTTTAGCTGCATCACTGATGGCGTCGGTGTTGATTTCCCTACATCTCTCCAGGAACTTCTCCACTGTAATCTGTTGGGTACATAACTTGATCAATTACTGCTTACTTTCCAATATTTCACACACATCTTGATACACAATTTTAATTATTAACTTGATGAGGTTTATTGATAGCTATATACCCACAATAGCCCACAAAGTAATACTATATATAGATGTACAGTTAAACCCTGATTAGAGGTCACACACACGTACAAGTCATGCGTCTGTTGTGGAAATTAAACTTGCACCTATACCAGTGCATCATGCTTCCAATTTTTTATGGCATTGACTGTAATTTTTGTTTTGATGACTTAACCGCTACAGTTATCAAAAACAAAAGCAACAGGCTTAAGAATTTTAAATGAATATGCAAGATAAGTGTCACTTCAAAGTATCTGACTCAGGATTTGTTAATTTATGAATAAAGAATGAATAAAATTACTGATAGATCAAACACTGACAGATTTCTTCTTAGCTAGACTTGAATACATAGTGCCTTTAGGGATACAATTTAGGGACAAAATCAGTGCATTTGGTATATGTACTGAGGCTAACATCGAGGACACAGTTTTTAATTCAAAAGGGAGGAAAAGAATCACAGTGAACTTAATTTAACTTGGCTATGATTTAGGGAATTAAGCATAGTCAGTAGAGCTAAGGACTTCAACGTTCAGCTAACATAGAATTATGAAAAAGAAAGTGACCTCAGTCACATGTACCTTCCATTCTTTAAGTGCTTCTAGTCCAATATCATCTAACTTGTCGTCGTCATCATGAACACCGCAGTAAGAGGCAAACTCTGGACTGGTCTTTAATCTCCAACTCCATACTTCCTCAAATAGTCTGGTAACTACTTTATCTTCTGGGCTGGCCCTTAGTGAGAGGAAATATTCTAATCGTTTTTAAAACGTACCATATCGTACTGTATCAGTATTAGCATCAAAGACACCCCAGATGGGAATATCTTTAGCATTTGTGTGGTAAATACTTAAAATAATCCTTTAGGTACTGGCTGTGACGTAAGAAAAATATGAAAGCAAAGAATCAGCCCGAAATAAAAAGCCGTTTAACGGTACTGAACAGACAGGTCTACAGTAGATTTTACGTTACAGGATGCCTGCATATTGACAAAGCGAAAGTAGGCCACGTCGCATCACTTCATTTGTCTTTCATAGCAACAAGTTTAAACAAAACCATTGGCTTATATGTTCTTTAAAACATGTTATAGTGTCTTTGCTTACTCACTCGTTATCAACGTAACTCAGCGGACTGATTTCGAACTCCATACTTTATCTGTCGGGCGTGGACAATGTCTTACATGTTGAGTGGAAGCACAATTATAAAAATAAAACCGGACCTCGTCATTAAATCCGGAATTTATCGATCCATATTTTTTTTTAAATCTCTATCATTTCGTATTGGGTTTCACAAAATGATTGTTATTGAATTATAAATAAAAGTTCAGTTATTTAATGACAATATTCAAATTAAATTATTGAAACAATTCTAAAAGTTTGCAAAGTGTTAAAAAAAATGCAGTGGAATTTGATCTCACTCACGATCAGGTGATGGAGAGGTGATAGCTGAGTTGGTTAGAGCTTCCATCTAAAACTTAAATTTGGAGCTCGAGGTCTTTGGTTTAAATCTCAGTCTGGCCCAGTCACATGTTCCCTAGCTGCTTCCTGTTAAAGTTGTGCCTGTGTTCAGCAGTTGTTTAAATCCCTAAGCCAGTGTTATAAAAAAAAAAAAATCTTTGGTTGAATATTTAGATTACGTGTGTAGTGGGACTGGCCGGGTCCGGTGACTACTGGTGATTACCTGTAGGTAGCTTACGACACTCGGTCTAGTAAGTCTGAGGTCCGGTGTTCGAATCCTGTTCTGGCCCCAAAACATTTTTCTACTCCTTTTATATTTACAAACATGGTGTCAATAGTCTATGATTGTCCATTCCTAGTCATTTACCTTGTCAGAGTCTGGTATTGATCACATGTATAATGTTTGAGGATTATTTGTACTTGTAGGCGACAGAAGAGCAGTTCATTCGAGAATTACATTGGTGTATTGAACAACTTCATCTTGGACTGGAAACACAGAATCCGGATTCCAAACAAGGTAAGATACAATTTCACGATATTATACGCTAGCCCCATATACTCAAGACTTATTAACAAATATATAATTACCAGGGAAAATGAGATCTAACATCCACTTGTGAATGTTCAGTGAAGTTCTGAATACCCCAGTTGATGTATTCCTAAATGGAATTTACTAGTCTTGTCACAAGAGTAAGGGAAAGTAAAAAATAAACCAGACAACATCGAATTGGGAATATTGGCGAATTTAATCTAGTTATGTTTAGGCCCACTGGCTAGTGAATATACCTTTACATTGAAATCAATAAAAATTTAAGTATTTCTTTTATCAAGAGCAGCATCACCAAGCTGACGATCATGAGCTATGTATGCTTCCTTCCCTTTTGTTTTGATGTCTTGTTGGTTGATAAAACTTAAGTACCTTGGCATATTTGGTTTCTGGTCTCCACTTTTCACTTTTAGTTCATATAGAAATAAGCTACATCTGGCCATGGTTTTACAAACCTTTCCCATTGCAGCTCGAGAAGCACAGAAGGTACTTAAGATTCTCTGTAGTGACAAGGCTGCAGTGATCAAGAAGAGACAGGCCATGAGGAATACGTTTGGTGACTACCGACAGAAGATGCTCAATGCAGAGAAAAAAAGTGCCGCAAGTATGTCAATATTCATATATAAAATTTGTTCAACATTTTGCCCCTGTGAACTTGTGCCATAGGACAACATGCCATAGCACCACATTCTTTGTAATTATCTGCCAAGCATCAACTTTTTATACCCCTTCTTTGACAAGCTCAGGGGTAAAAAGTACATTTGTATTTGCTTTGTCCATGCTTCCATCCATGCAGACCTTTGTTACAGGAGCATATCTCAGGTATGGTTTCATGAATGAGCATCAAACTTTGTATTTAGGTACGTGACTCGGAAAGGTGGTGTGTCGCATCCAAATACAAGGTCACCCTGACCTCAATTTGACCTTTGACCTTTACCTTAGCTAAATGTTATTCAGGTTTCTACCGTATACCTTAGCTACTGTTTCACTTAAAAGATATGCGGGGAGTAAGGGTTTTCTGTAAAGCAATGCTTCAAGTTCAACCTAGTTACTTTTAAATGACAAACCAAGTGGTCCACTGGGTCCTAATAGTTAGCCAGTAGTGAGCTTAGGGTAAGGGCTATATAGTTTATACTATGAATAACTTCAATCTAATTTCAAGGCCACAGGGATACAATCTTTTTAAAATTCAGACCTCTCAAGCACTACAAAGGCCTGCAGGGACATGTTATCTAGCCTTATGCATTTATTTTTTATGCAGTATATCCTTTGTAAAGAATGTATTTCTCTCTCCAACAGCATTAAAGAAAACAAAGATGACACCTAAAGCTGACAGCAGTAGTTCTGTCTTCTACAAGAAAAGTGCTAGCACCCAGTACAATAGACAATCAGGTGATGAACCATCATCTATGGGAGATAACTGTGAAGAAATGGGGGACAACTCTATGAAAAGTATTGAAGACGATGTATCTGAAAGACTTGGAAATTTCACTTTCGTCAAATCGGATGAAAATTTTACATTTGGTTTTCAATCGCCAGAAAAATCATCTGTGAATGATTTGGACACTGAAAACAGTAAGAAAGACAGTGCGATTGGTAGTCAATGTGGATCATTAGCAGCCGAAACTTTTGTTCTGCAGAAAACGGACAATTCTTTCAGATTTAATTTTGCAGGTCCCTCATGAAGATGAAGCTTTTTTCATTGAGACTTGTTTCATCGGTTATGTAAACTGTCATTCTATACCGTGTAATGTCCGAGGACTTACAAACCCAGCTTCATCTCTCGCTAAATGTTGGTGTTTGGATAGTTTCCACAACTTAACAAACATAACACTACTAAGCTTGTGTAAAATATTGATGAATAAATTCTAAGTGAGATTACAATATCTGTTTAAGTGTGATTAATCCACGACTAGAAAAAACTAATACCGGTAAGCACAGAATCAAATTATGAACATTTTTATTTCTTTTTTCATAGTGTTTGGTAGTTGGTACAGAGGGGTAACCATTATGTAGAATAAAATATGACATTCTCTGATTAAAAGTCAATATGTAGTCAATGTGCTGGACACCTACATCATTTTATTTCATGTTATCTAGAGATTGAATGACGAGGTTTTTATCAATAAAATGGTTTTGTTTTAACCCTTTCACCCCTGTGTAACTTTAATAGACTCTACCATGTATTGATATGGATGAGTCCTTTGTGGTCTACAGTGGTGAAAGGGTTAAGGTAAACAAAAAAAATATATTAACATAGCATGTGTTTTGAATTTACATAAAATAAATATTTATCTTTATAACATATTCAAAGCATGTTTTGTGTATCGTACTAACAACAACACATAGGTTTCTGGTTGTATATTGACTATACATAAGACACCATCTATCAGAAAATATCACAGAATAGTTGCAGTTGTTGGCTTATCACAGTAACACAGAGTTCTCATTTGTTTAAACTTTTACTGTAACTTCAGTTTTGGGGTGGTCAAAGACTTCCACTCACAATTGTCCATCAATGTAGGCTCAATATTTGCCTATAGATGTAGACTTAAATGCCTATATTTAACAAAGTAATTCAATAATGTTTTTACTTTGAAAGGTAAAAGGTTTATGTCAAAAAACATCTTTTGAAATCAATAATCACTGTAAGATATTTAAGATACCTTTTAAAATATTAACAATATTGGAAAATTAAATTGTTTTACAAAAAAAGTATTTCATTATTTCTCTCATACTGATTTGTCCATTACTTTCAAGGTAATAGTGCAAAGGATACAACCAATGAAATACATTTTTATAAAATCACAAATCATAGAGACACTTTGATGTTAAGATAATTTCAGATTGAATGTTCAGATCAGTACACAGTCAGGTTTTTCATGATGACAACATCGGAGCCGCGAGGATTCTTGCCCCTTGGCTGCCAGGATGGGACATCACTGCCGTAGTTGGGAGCCCAGTAATAATGGCGGCGGATCTGATTACTGAGTTCACACAGCTTAGTAACACCATCCACAACATAGGCTTGTATATCAGTGTTCTCTGGCTTCAACCGTCCACTCTCCAGCAAACTGGCAAAGGCCTGGAAAACAAACAACAGTATCAATTAATCTGGGTATCTCATTAATATCCTCTTTCAAATTCATTAAAATCAGCCAAATATTATTCACTGTTGTGGGAAAAAAAATACCGGTAGCATAACTCACTCATGTTGAAATAACAAAACAGCAAATATGAAATCTTATCCAGATTTAGATTTTCTGTGCTATATTATATATAGCATGCTTGCCAACGCTCCCTATTTAGATGGAAGACTCCTGATTTTGGACCCTGAAATTTAATGTTGCCAGCCAGTGAATTTGCTGGACTATTCCTATATTCTAAGATATAATAATTTCATCTGAAAGAACAACTCAAAGTATGTCATTTTAATCTAAATGGTTATTTTGTCCCTAAGGGTATATAGACACATTTTATTTATGTTTTTAATTGGGAGCACACAGAATCTCCCCCATGAAAATCTCAAAAGTAGTTAAGTAGGTTACTGTACATGATCATCTACACTGTAAGTTGGTGTACAATGTTGACTTTTGTTAATGACACAGCAACAACTTACAATACAGGCAGGTTCTTCCAGCTTGTTTCCCCAGATGAATATACTGGTAAGGGTTGTGTTGGTCTTCATGGCGTCGGCCAGGGCACACAGGCCCTTGTTTCCAATGCCATTACTTGCCACCACCAAACTACAGATGTACATTGAATACATAAGGATGGTTCACAATCAAATAATTCCACAAGTTATTTCAAACCAATGAATTAAAATATTATTCCACAAAAGGTAAATTGTCTGTGTATCAGTACAGTCACCCTAGATACTCCAGGGGTAACCGTTACGCTCACTTTCGCTCTCTGCACCCCTGGAATATGATAACCAAATTGAAGGCATGCAGCTTGCTATTTGATTGTTCTCGGGTAAAAGAAAACCTGACCAATTGCTAAACCAGTCACTTTTACCGTTACGCGACCGGCAGATTCTTCTGATGTACATCAAAGGATCAAACTAGCCTTCTCGTCTCACCTACAAGATGATGCACACTGCACTAGTCTTCTCGTCTCACCTACAAGGTGATGCACACTGCACTAGTCTTCTCGTTCCACCTACAAGATGATGCACACTGCACTAGTCTTCTCGTCTCACCTACAACATGATGCACACTGCACTAGTCTTCTCGTCTCACCGACAACATGATGCACACTGCACTAGTCTTCTCGTCTCACCAACAAGGTGATGCACACTGCGCCTTTTATTTTGCCATGACATATTCTAGGGTTGCAGAGAGTGAAAGTCACACTGCACTAGTCTTCTCGTCTCACTTACAAGGTGATGCACACTGCACTAGTCTTCTCGTTCCACCTACAAGATGATGCACACTGCACTAGTCTTCTAGTCTCACCTACAAGGTGATGCACACTGCACTAGTATTCTCGTCTCACCTACAAGATTACACACTGCACTAGGGTTCTCGTCTCACCTAGAAGATTACACACTGCACTAGTCTTCTCGTCTCACCCACAAGATTACGCACTGCACTAGTCTTCTCGTCTCACCTACAAGGGGATGCACACTGCACTAGTCTTCTCGTCTCACTTACAAGGCGATGCACACTGCACTAGTCTTCTCGTTCCACCTACAAGATGATTCACACTGCACTAGTCTTCTCGTCTCACCTACAAGATGAGGCACACTGCACTAGTCTTCTCGGCCCACCTACAAGGTGATGCACACTGCACTAGTCTTCGCGTCTCACCTACAAGATTACACACTGCACTAGTCTTCTCGTCTCACCCACAAGATTACGCACTGCACTAGTCTTCTCGTCTCACCTACAAGATTACACACTGCACTAGTCTTCTCGTCTCACCCACAAGGTGATGCACACTGCACTAGTCTTCTCGTCTCCCCTACAAGATGATGCACACTGCACTAGTCTTCTCGTCTCGCCTACAAGGTGATGCACACTGCACTAGTCTTCTCGTTCCACCTACAAGATGATGCACACTGCACTAGGCTTCTCGTCTCACCTACAAGGTGATGCACACTGAACTAGTCTTCTCGTCTCCCCTACAAGGTGATGCACACTGCACTAGTCTTCTCGTTCCACCTACAAGATGATTCACACTGCACTAGTCTTCTCGTCTCACCTACAACATGATGCACACTGCACTAGTCTTCTCGTCTCACCAACAAGGTGATGCACACTGCGCCTTTTATTTTGCCATGACATATTCTAGGGTTGCAGAGAGTGAAAGTCACACTGCACTAGTCTTCTCGTCTCACTTACAAGGCGATGCACACTGCACTAGTCTTCTCGTTCCACCTACAAGATGATTCACACTGCACTAGTCTTCTCGTCTCACCTACAAGCTGATGCACACTGCACTAGTCTTCTCGTCTCACCAACAAGGTGATGCACACTGCGCCTTTTATTTTGCCATGACATATTCTAGGGTTGCAGAGAGTGAAAGTCACACTGCACTAGTCTTCTCGTCTCACTTACAAGGCGATGCACACTGCACTAGTCTTCTCGTCTCACTTACAAGGCGATGCACACTGCACTAGTCTTCTCGTTCCACCTACAAGATGATTCACACTGCACTAGTCTTCTCGTCTCACCTACAACATGATGCACACTGCACTAGTCTTCTCGTCTCACCTATAAGGTGATGCACACTGCACTAGTCTTCTCGTCTCCCCTACAAGATGATGCACACTGCACTAGTCTTCTCGTCTCACCTACAAGGTGATGCACACTGCGCCTTTTATTTTGCCATGACATATTCTAGGGTTGCAGAGAGTGAAAGTGATCTTAAACCTGGAGTAGTGAGGATGATGTACAGTAAAAAACCTGTCTAATTGGTGCCTGAATATTTGAACATCTCGTCATATCGTATATGATATATATTGATAATACTTAGTCTAGTGTAGTGTTTGGAGTTCTGGCCTCTGTCAAATAAAACACCCAGATAATACTTACGTCTCTAGTGTAGTGTTATAGGTGGCTATAGCCTCTGCCAAGTGCATAGCACCATCATCTTCCAGTCTGTTGAACCCTAGATCAAGGATTTTGATGGATGTGTTGTTCTTCAAAACTTTGGCAAGTTCTTTTGTCCCATCTCGGGTGATTCTATTGCTATAAAAAAAAACCAGTTCTAACAAAAGTGATCAATAAAACAAAGTTCAAATAAAGAATATTTTTTTAGAAAAGTAAATTATGCCACAAAGAAGTTTGGAATGTCTTTCAAATGATTTTGAGAAATTTCAGTGAGAAGTCAAAACATAAATTTCATCATGAAGGGCTCACCAGCTGAGATCTAGATAGTTGAAAGTCATATTAGCCATCAAATTTTCAGCCAATCGTGTCGCTCCAAAATCTCTCATATCATATTTCTGTAGATGGAGTTCTTCTATTGATGTATTCACCTGGAAAGATATGAAAAATACAGACACAGATATGTAGGCATTATGCTCTAAAAGGCAGTGTAACATGAAGTATGCTAACGTTATAACAGCCATTTTAATTATCACTTTATTTAAATGTGAGGTAAACAGTCTTTTAAGATTCTAAACAGTCGAAGAATTGGAAAGAATACAAGAGTGAAGTCAAAACGTTTCGTCATAATCAGTAATAAGACATACTGGTCAAGAGCAATGAAACCTATAAGAGGTTATAGGAGATAACGGGGGTGAGGAAATCTCCAATGGTTACGGAGGGAGTGAGGAAACCTATAAGAGGTTATAGGAGATAACAGGGGTGAGGAAATCTCCAATGGTTACGGAAGGAGTGAGGAAACCTATAGAGGTTATAGGAGATAACGGGGGTGAGGAAATCTCCAATGGTTACGGAGGAGTGAGGAAATCTATAGAGGTTATAGGAGATAACAGGGGTGAGGAAATCTCCAATGGTTACGGAAGGAGTGAGGAAACCTATAGAGGTTATAGGAGATAAAAGGGGTGAGGAAATCTCCAATGGTTACGGAGGAGTGAGGAAATCTATAGAGATTATAGGAGATAACAGGGGTGAGGAAATCTCCAATGGTTACGGAGGGAGTGAGGAAACCTATAGTGGTTAAGGGAGAAGACAGCTGTAATGAAATCTATGGGGTTCTTATAAAAGAACATCTAATATCCACTTCTAATTAAAATTCCTTGCAGTCAATATAAGACAATGATTTCTTACTTTGAGCATCTTAGCAAAGTGGACAGTTGTCTCCTCCTGACAGCTGAAAATGAGGGGTCTGTTTACATTGAGTGCCTTCAGGGTACTGTTTCTGAAGAGTACTGTGGGGAGTGCAATAACTGCTTCAATCGTCTGAAACACAAAGATCAGAAGTATGATTTGATTATCGTATGTTACAAGATCATCCGCAAAAAAATCATAGCCTCAAACAAGATTACAGCACACTATCAATATTTTATACACTAAGATACAAAGAACAATACCTTATTATTTATGTTTTTGATACATTATCATAAAATCACACATAGTATTATACAGAGGTAATGGTGGTGTTGTGGTTACTGTGAATGGAATTTCTCCATTTGAAAAAGTAATGAAAATTGTCTTTATTCGTTGTTAATGTTTCATCTTGCATATTAAATCAATAAACATAATATTCATCATCACACTAGTTACTAGAGTATGTTGATACGAAAATTTGAAATATGTCATTATTGTACCATGTCTTACATTCTATATAATTATATACACACAGCAAATTTTAAATTTTGGATCAACAACAAACTCACAATATATGGTACCAAGTTACTTTGGCAAAATACCGGTGACTCAATCCAATACACATTGCCGAAACACTATGCTTGGAGGTAAAAACAAAACAATAATAAATTGACTTCTTTATTTATAATTAATATTTAAAGTGGTTTCAATACCAGGTATAATTCAAACATTATCTGCTTAATTCCTCAGAGAAAATTAAAAAAAAGACGGGTCTTGGGACTCTATACTATTCAACACATCTCCAGTCTCACCAGGTCTAGAGCCTCTACTATTTGATACTTACCATGTCGGTATCTCCCAGGTCTAGAGCCTCTTCTATTTGATACTTACCATGCCGGTATCACCCAGGTCTAGAGCATCTACTATTTGATACTTCCCATGTCGGTATCACCCTGGTCTAGAGCCTCTACTATTTGAAATTTACCATGTCGGTATCACCCTGGTCTAGAGCCTCTACTATTTGATACTTACCATGTCGGTATCACCCAGGTCTAGAGTCTCTAAGATTTGATACTTACCATGTCAGTATCACCCAGGTCTAGAGCCTCTACTATTTGATACTTACCATGTCGGTATCACCCAGGTCTAGAGCCTCTAAGATTTTGTTTACTTGTAACATCTGGGCAAAACACATTCCTCCTCTGTTCCCAATCTTGTTTCCATTTAATCTCAGCACTCGCAAACTCTCATTTTTCTGAAGACAAAAACAGCAATGGTAGCCATACAAAATTAAACTTTCGTACATATGGCATCTACACACCATACTTCACATACAAAATTAAACTTTTGTACATATGGCATCTACACACCATACTTCACATACAAAACAATCCTATCTTTCAACTTATGGATTAATTTCTCCACTTAATACATATTGCATGGATTAATTTCTCCACTTAATACATATTGCATGGATTAATTTCTCCACTTAATACATATTGCATGGATTAATTTCTCCACTTAATACATATTGCATGGATTAATTTCTCCACTTAATACATATTGCATGGATTAATTTCTCCACTTAATACATATTGCATGGATTAATTTCTCCACTTAATACATATTGCATGGATTAATTTCTCCACTTAATACATATTGCATGGATTAATTTCTCCACTTAATACATATTGCATGGATTAATTTCTCCACTTAATACATATTGCATGGATTAATTTCTCCACTTAATACATATTGCATGGATTAATTTCTCCACTTAATACATATTGCATGGATTAATTTCTCCACTTAATACATATTGCATGGATTAATTTCTCCACTTAATACATATTGCATGGATTAATTTCTCCACTTAATACATATTGCAAGAATAAAACCTTTTTTGGATAAAAATCTCTGTAGAACTATTTATATGTCGGAGTATATACACATTTTATCAAAGTGTAGAGAGAATTGCATAAATTGTGGTTTCTTTTGCAGAGTTGAGCAATGGTTGGATGCATCAAAGAGGCATTTGTTAGATCTCTATACAAATACCTAGAGTATAACATAGAAAATATATAACAACATTATGGTAATATTACAGCAACAACAGTCTAATGTATAATAACAGTATAATGTATAATAACAGTATAATGTATAATTACAGTATAATAACAGTCTAATGTATAACAACAGTATAATGTATAATTACAGTATAATGTATAATAACAGTATAATGTTTAATTACAGTATAATGTATAATAACAGTATTATGTATAATAACAGTATAATGTATAATTACAGTATAACGTATAATAAAAGTATAATGTATAACAACAGTATAATGTATAATTACAGTATAATGTATAATAACAGTATAATGTAATAATGTATAATTACAGTATAATGTATAATTACAGTATAATGTATAATTACAGTATAATATATAATTACAGTATAAGGGCAGTATGAATGCAGTAAAAGTACAGTATAATGTATAATTACAGTATAATGTATAATTACAGTATAATGTATAATTACAGTGTAAGTGCAGTATGAATGCAGCGAAAGTACAGTATAATGTATAATTACAGTATTATACAGTATAATGTATAATTACAGTATTATACAGTATAATGTATAATAACAGTATAATGTATAGCTACAGTATAATGTATAATTACAGTATAATGTATAATTACAGTATAATGTATAATTACAGTTTAAAGTATAATTACAGTTTAATGTATAATTACAGTATAAGTGCAGTAGGAATGCATTATAAGACTAAGTATGTTTGATATGTGGTATGACTATTTTGTAGTATAGGTTATTTATAAATACTAAGTACATACATGTAAGGCCTTGGCGATTGCCTCCGCTCCCTCCGACTCAATGTCATTACACATCAGATTCAAATACTTCAGAGTCACCGTCTCCTACAAGCAAATATAATAAAGACAATAAAAAACTGTATTACTCCAGGTAACTCTTAAAACTGTATTGCTCCAGGTAACTCTTGAAACTGTATTACTCCAGGTAACTCTTGAAACTGTATTACTCCAGGTAACTCTTAAAACTGTATTACTCCAGGTAACTCTTCTACAAGGATCTTGGTGGCAAAGTATGAAAGCAGTCAAAATATATACAAGGTAGAACTATATCTCACAAGGTAGATTTATTATATATATTAGTCTTATCCCATCATCAGGTGAATTTACTCTCCTCACCAACCTCTGCAATTTGGCAATAAGTTCAGTCTTTATTACAGATGAGGTGTGTTTAATTTGCCTTCATTATAGGAGTGACCTACCTCGTTGGTGCTATTAGTCCATTTTTCAATTTTTATTTTTTTATTTTTTTAAATAACCCAAAAAGTACCTGTGCTTTATACACTAGCGTGCACAATACGCAAATATTTACGGTATTACTAAATCAACAGGTAGATTTTCTTCATGTCTTATCCAATCATCAGGTGAATTTACTCCTCACAGATCTCAAGCAATTTGGTGACAAGTTTAGTCTTTATTACAGATGAGATGTGACTTACCTCGAGCAGTTTTGCAATATGTTTTGCACCCACACTTGTGAGGTTATTGTAGCGGAGGTCCAGACCGTCGACGTATGTATTGTTACACAGAGTTTTATACAGAGCCTCTGCATCACTGTCCACCAGACGTTTGTCCGTCAGCAGCTTGTTGTTCCCGGCCAGGTACAGGTCCATAGACTCCTTAAATTCACTGTAATTTACAATCATCATTATTATAAGTCACAGTAGACTTTTACAAGATACCATAGAGCTTACATGTGACTTAATGTAACAAATTGCTATAACACACAGTCATCAACATACAATTTTGCTGGAATTGATTCCAACTTACTATCATGTGGCTTTACACTAGAAATGGCATAACTAGCATGTACATAGGTTTAAAAGGTAATATACTGTAATACAAATCAATCTCATTTTAATGAAAACTGAATGGCAAATTATGAATTAGGGATACATTATACTAACAGGAATGATATGGATATAAATTTAATGAATTTTAATAATATTGTATGACTAGTGAGTAGCTATCAGCCTAACTATATGTAATTAGAATAATTTTGAGTTAATTTATGAGATCCAAACTTATTACAGGAATCAAATATTTTTAATAATCGCAAATCTGTCAGAAAACAAATGCAGGTTCGAGATTGTTCACATTCGGAAAGAGCTGAATTTTAACAGGATGTTGATCACAAAGATATTATTTAGAGGACAAAAGATATACAATTGTGAGGAAAAGGAATGTAATGTTTAGGGTGCATTTATGCACAGAAGTTGTAAATAGAGTGACATGTATCAGGACAACACAGAACAGACATCAGGTAAAGTCGGTCAGTTACTGTAAGTGGCAATGGTGACAGGAGACTGAAAGAGCAGCACAAGAAAATCTAAAATGGGAATTGCTCAAAATACAAATTCTTTAAAACCTGTTTTCTCTTAAATTGTGGGCTATCTAAACATTTTACAATGTTTGAATTAATCCTGTCTTTGTAATGTGTACATAAGGGTCAGAGTGCACTTTTTTGCTGTCTTGCAATGATCAATACATAAAGGCAAATGCATTTTTCCTGTTATACAATGTGTACATAAAGGCCAGTGAACTTTTCCAGTCTTGCAATGTGTACATACAGGCCAGTGAACTTTTCCAGTTTGGCAGTGAGTATATAAAGGTCAGTGCACTATTCCACTCTGGCAGTGAGTACATAAAGGTCAGTGCACTTTTTCAGTCTTGCAGTGAGTACATAAAGGTCAGTGCACTTTTTCAGTCTGGCAGTGAGTACATAAAGGCCAGTGAACTTTTCCAGTCTGGCAGTGAGAACATAAAGGCCAGTGAACTTTTCCAGTCTGGCAGTGAGTACGTAAAGGCCAGTACACTATTCCACTCTGACAGTGAGTATATAAAGGTCAGTTAACTTTTCCAGCCTGGCAGTGAGTACATAAAAGCCAGTGCCTCTTGCCAGTCTGGTAGTGAGTACATAAAGGTCAGTGCACTTTTCCAGTCTGGCAGTGAGTACATAAAAGCCAGTGCCCATTGCCAGGCTGGCAGTGAGTACATAAAGGTCAGCGCACTATTCCAGTCTGACAGTGAGTATATTAAGGTCAGTGCACTTTTCCAGTTTGGCAGTGAGTACATAAAGGTCAGTGCGCTATTCCAGTCTGTCAGTGAGTATATTAAGGTCAGTGCACTTTTCCAGTTTGGCAGTCAGTATATAAAGGTCAGTGCACTATTCCAGTTTGGCAGTGAGTATATAAAGGTCAGTGCACTTTTCCAGTTTGGCAGTGAGTACATAGATCAGTGCACTATTCCAGTCTGTCAGTGAGTATATAAAGGTCAGTGCACTTTTCCAGTTTGGCAGTGAGTACATAAAGGTCAGTGCACTATTCCAGTCTGTCAGTGAGTATATTAAGGTCAGTGCACTTTTCCAGTTTGGCAGTCAGTATATAAAGGTCAGTGCACTATTCCAGTCTGGCAGTGAGTATATAAAGGTCAGTGCACTATTCCACTCTGGCAGTGAGTATGTAAAGGTCAGTGCACTATTCCAGTTTGGCAGTGAGTACATAAGGGTCAGTGCACTTTTCCAGTCTGGCAGTGAGTACATAAAGGTCAGTGCACTTTTCCAGTTTGGCAGTGAGTATATAAAGGTCAGTGCACTATTCCAGTCTGGCAGTGAGTACATAAAGGCCAGTGAACTTTTCCAGTCTGGCAGTGAGTACATAAAGGCCAGTTTTTAAAGGAGGTGGGGGGGTGTTTAAACCATGTCATTAAAGACTACCATAAGTACTAGTCATTAACACTATCACAAGAAATTCTACATGTACTGGATACCTATAAGCCTAAGGGATTTTGGTTAATACTGAATCTGATGGGTACCTATAGAATGGTATTAGTATAATACATATTACATATATATACTTGTATGTTTCAGCTTGATATTTTCGTTACTTTTATGAAGTTTTATCACACTTGTAGAGGAAGGGGAGATAACTGAAGGTTTGGTCCAGTGTGACTACTACTGGGTATATGTTACAGTTTCAATATGAATACCACTTGGTATGTGTCACAATAGGAAGGGCAGAGATTAGGGAAAGCTGGGACAACAGGCAATCAAAATGGCCTAATTATAACATTTGAGAAATTCAATGCAGATTTTTAACTTAACTCATGGTCAATTGAAATAGTTGAAAACTTGGAAATGGTGCATATAGCGTTTAAAACATTTAAAATCACTGGAAGGGTAAAGGTTTCAGTATAAACACCAATGGGGATATATGTCACTGTAGGAAGGGTGGAGTATAACACTGTGTCTCAGACACATGGTTGAGAAGAATAGTTCTAGGTTTAATGGTTTCACCAAGATTAATAATGTTTCAAGGGCAAGTAGGTTTCCATGCCATTGCTAATGTTAATGTTTTAGTCACTCGGAACCCAGTGTGGTGCATCTTGCTCATTTTTTTCAGAAGTTAAGACTTTGGTAAATATGAACGGGGAAGCTTGAGTGTGTGAGGGGAACATGTTTTATTTCCCCATCATGAGATCAATAAAATCCAAACAGACATGCTGTTATAAAGATGAGATATAATAGTAATTATCATGATAAAACTAATAGGTTAGGCAGCAACATATCACATCTAGTGACTAGTTATCAATGGTGGAAGCACTTGTACTAGAACTTATAAGTTACACTGGACTCTATCCAGTTAACAATCAATTTTAATTAAAACTACATGTATCATTGATCTAAAACTAACACAGTAATCATGTTTTACACTGCCCTTTCTTGTGTTTCTACTTGAAAGTGTTTAAGATCCCCAATGCAGTTTACACCTGCAGTGTTTCTTCAATCATCAACAAAATGCAACTCATGCAGTTTTTGTGACATGCTGTTAGAGAGAAGACAGACTATTAATGAGGAGCTACAAAGGAAAGTGTGTTAACAGTTGAAAACAAACACTAAACTTCGTGTCAATAGTGTGTAATGGAACATGCTCATACCATCCTAAAACCTGGACCAAATATTACCACCAAAATATAAAATACAAAAATAAAGCCAATCATCAGTGTTTACCTTGATTCCGTCCCCGTATAAACAATTACAGGATAAAAGATACATTTAATGGCCATAACATTGATTATAGAAGCTATACTTTTGGTCCAGGTTTTGTAACAGAGTATAAACTCATAGAGTGATATTTTTTGTAAATACTTACCCTTTTTTCTTTAGTCTGTTTTGTATTGAAAACGTGAAGGGTTGTTTATAGGTGAATGTTATTCAATCATGAGTGAATTAAAACCAAAACAAATCATACAAACCACACTGCTAAATAATCAAGTGATACAGTTATGTTCAAACTTGGTTCATGCAAAATAAGGTATATGTTAGAACTTTGTTTTTTGAAATCTTTCAGTGAACACAAACTTGAAGTGTTTTAATTATTATGGATGTGAATTAAACTTATTAAAAGTATTACATGTGTATTGTATTATGGATAATGTAAGGTTGAGGAAACATTGTATCTATATTTAGTCATCAGACCATGATATTAACACATTGTACGAATGAGTGATTGCATACACAAGTATGCTAGGAACACATGTAATTAATTTAAAAAAAACATGAGTCAATTCTCCACTGAAACACTAATTATTTATGCAACCTTTTTTGCTTTATGTAAAGTTCTTAATCAATAATATGTATTAAACTGCAAGTTAATTGCAATCTAAAACCACCACCTGAATAATTTACTTTTCCACTGATATTTCTTATTAATAATTCACATAATCATTCATGTAGAAAGTTTCCAATTTAATGTATATAACAAATTCTTTCATAAAGCTATTCCATAAACACATTGTGTACGTCCTGTTTTAGAATTAAAGATTGTAATCTAAACATGAGCCTTAATCGGTCTAAAACTTTCTGATATTTATTGACAAATTAAGTTAAATGTTATTACAGTGCCCACACCCGGTATTTCCGATTTAGTATTGTCCTAATCATGCTTCATTAGAATGCACACGTGTATATTTTTTTTTCATTCTTTAAAATTCAAACACAATGTCATCCTGAGATACGTATTTTGTGAAATGCTACATACATGCAAATTCTCATTATGGATATGTTAATTATGTACTTACAACACAGCTTCTTCCTTTTCTTTATCAAACATCAATGTGACATATGGGTTTGGTTCAATGCCCAACTCTGTACAGACCGCCTCATACCTGAAGGCAGTAGAGTGGATGTCAGACATCCTGGTAACTGGTCACTCAAAACTGGAAAATTTGAAAGAACACTAATGATTAAAAAATATTTTAATGGAAAGAAAATGGGTAAAGTTAGGGTTAGACACTAACTTTTTTTGCTTGGTAGTCCGCAGGACTAGTTGAATAGATTATTTACTAGTCCTTCGTCAATGTAACTAGTCCAAGATTTCCATAAGGAAACATCGCTATCTATAGCACAAAACATCAAAAGTAATTGACTCTAGCATATTTAAAATAACTACTGCCATAAAAATGTTGTGAAGTTTAAGAAAATTTTGACAATTATCATGCAATATATCTTATTTTAAGCAGTTTTTTTTTTATTTAATGATCATATATTTCACAAGTCCAAAGGACCAGGTAGGCTAGGTGTTTCACTAGTCCTGGCCGAAATCTAGTAGTCCAGGACTAGCGGACTAGTATAGTGTCAACCCCGACAGCAATAATGCAAAAACTGTTTCTATCATTACTACTTTTGTAACATTATACACTGCAACTTGATCTGGGTTTTTTGTAGTTGTGTGTAACTATATATGCACTTCAAATTGTTCAACTAGTCATGATTTGGTGGGTAAAACGCAGGAACACTGAATAGTACTACAGTTTGGACTTTTTTCCGGTCATTAGGTAGCCGCAGTTAGTCAGAGACCGTCCTTTTGTTGTGTCATCCTTCATATACTTAGGGTTTGCACATATTTATAATATTGAAAAAGTCGTATATCATTATCTTATTTACATTTATACATGTGTACACATTTGTTTGTTCTTTCTCTTCGATTGTCGAATATCTTCAACTTCAACAGGATACTCTAAAACGTTCAATATACTGAACATTATTTAGAGGCGTAAATATATAGCAATATATTAGAATAAGGTTAGATTAATTAATGAGTATCCCCACTAAATCACCGGCATTTCTACAGTTTCCTTCCCTTTACTGGCGTCATGATCTTCCTCTTTTTTTTCAAGTTCTTTGTAGGATGATATTTCCATTTTTGCGATTAGCGAGTCATCCCCACTAAACCCCTATTACACTGGTATATACATCATCATTTGGTCTTAATATTACATCAAACCTTCATGCTGCAATTATCAATTCGTATCTACATTTGAAAAGTACGGAAAAGAATCATACCATTTTATTTAAGATTAAGCATTCGTAACTTTTTTCATAGAAAGCGTCATTTCAAAAGCAATTTCTACAATAACAAAAAAACAATATTGTTACCTCCCCTCCCGTACCGGATTTTGGAACTTCAACGATCTTACGATGAGTTGGATATCAACGTATGTACATAATTCTGTTACAGTGGATAAAAACATATTAACTTGATAAAGATTCATATGATGAAAACAATTCAAATTATTTTCCTCACTTAATTGTATACAGACCATGAACGTCATGAATCGACAAATAGGAGTGCGAAATGACATCCCTATGCCAAAGTGCAGTTTTCAACAAACTGGTGGCCTGATCGAAATTGACATTTTCATGACTCTCAATGTAAAAACATTTACAACATGCTTATTTTTTCTTTAAGTCGGAATAATACCCTCATACAGCACCTGATATAAAATATTCAAAGGACCTATTCCCGCCAGCGTCGTGTTGCCACAACAACTTTTAGAAGAAAATCTCAGTCATCGGGATCTCGCAGGTGCTTGAAGATTGAAGTAAAGGGAAGTAACCTTTTTGATGTGGGCTGTCGAGCAAAGCACTGGGCCGTTTTCGTTAAGCGGTCAAACCGGTCGGACCAGTCCACAGGGCGAGGCCTAGTACTCTCAAATCCTTTCAAGGCCTGCATAAACTTTTGCAGGTTCGCCTGGATTTATACCCGAAATGACGACATTAAGACTAATATACTAAACGATTACTTTGTTTCAATATCTACTTTAGACGATATTAACATTGACGTACCTGTGATAGAATCTAGAACTGACTCGACCATCTCGGACATACCGTTTAATATTAATGACATTATCGACATTCTAAAGACATTAAAAATCGGTATAGCTGTAGGAAAGGATACTATTAGTCATACCATGCTAAAGAATACCTCTAATTCAGTTGCTTATCCCCTTTCATTGATCTTTCCGGCGCTCATTTTTGGAAACTGGATATTTTCCCAAACAATGGAAATATATGCTCTAGTTATGCCGTGGGGTGTTTTTTTTTAAAAAAGGAGATAAACAAGACCCTTCAAATTATAGACCTATTGCACTACTAAGTACTATTGGTAAAGTTTTCGAAAGATTAGTCGCTAAATATTTACATAACTACATTTTAGATCATTCTCTCATATATACATATCAGTCATGTTTTCAAACAGGTCATTCTACTGTATACCAGCTTATAGAGATATATCATACTATGTGCGACAATCTTGAAAAAAAACAGCCAACTTGTCTAATTGTTTGTGATATTTCTAAGGCGTTTGATCGAGTGTGGCATAGGGGGCTGGAAGTGAAACTAGCTAGCTATGGAATATCGGGAAAATTATTGGACTGGTTAATTAATTATGTTACTAATAGATCTCAACAAGTTTTTATTGGAAATAGTAGATCTTCTGTTAAGATAACAAATGTATAAGTACCTCAGGGTTCGGTTCTTGGCCCATTGCTATTTATACTATATATTAATGACATAACAGATAATATAGAAAGTCTATCAAAACTTTTTGCTGATGACACCTATCTTTTGTATTCGTATAATCACCACAAGTAATTGAACAAAAAAATAATGATGATCTCGTAAATAAACAATTGTGGGCAGAAAAGTGGCTTGTTAAATTCATTCCTGCAAAAACAGAGGCTTTACTTATTTCTAATATTGAACTTGATCACCTCATTGAAATTAACTTTAATAATGTAAGTATTGAATTTATTGAAAATCATAAGCATCTGGGAGTATTCATCAATGCTAACTGTAAATGGACCTATCACATTGATAATATATGTAAAAAAGTAGTTAAACAATTAAGTGTCCTCCGTAAATTGAAATATACCCTGAACTTTGGGATGATTGTTCTATTACTGATTCAGACAAATTAGAAAAGCTACAACTTGAAGCTGGACGTATTGTCACTGGTTTACCGTCGTTTACTAGTAGACAATCTATATATAATGAAACTGGATGGGTTCTCTAGCCCATCGGAGATCCCGTCGAAAGGTACAATTATATTTTTAAATCCACAATAATATAGCCCCTAACTATCTCAACACTCTACTCCCTTCCCTTGTCGATAACTCTCACTATAATCTTCGAAACGTTGAAAACTACAACCTACCTAACAACAGACTTGAATTATCTAACGTATCCTTTTTTCCTTCCACTGTTAGATTGTGGAACCAGTTACCTACTAGTATACGACGTAGCGCCACGTTCTCATCATTTAGAAACGCCATTCAAGACGTAAGCTTGCCTCTCGTACCAAATCCCTTTTTTATGGTGATAGAAAAAACAATATTTTGCAAACAAAATTAAGAAACCGTTCTAGTACTTTGAAAAGTGACCTGTTTCGTGTTAACCTTATTGATTACCAACGTTGTATATGTGGCTTCCCTATTGAAGACACACACCATTTCTTTTTTACCTGTGATAAATATAACGAACAAAGAGTTAAGCTTTATCGTGAACTGAATGAATATACATGCTTCTTAATTTAAATCTACTTTTATTTGGAGATACATCTCTTTCGGAACAGGGAAACATAACGATATTCATGCATACTCAGCAATACATTCGTGACTCTAACAGATTCTAGTACCCCACCCCCCACCCCCACCCCTGTCCTCTCTCTCCGGAAATACCAGAAAGCACGGAACGACCAGGAGGAAGGTTTTATAGGAATGTGTTGAACATGCAGAAAGTTGTGATCAGCGAATTGAGTAACACTTGTCTGTTTGCATGGAGAAAAAACAACCACATGGTCCGATATGCTTTTTTTTAATATCTGTTGCTTTGGAGGCAGATACCATCTGTCATACATTAATAATGATGAGGATGTATGTATTATAATTACAGACTATTACGCACTGCCATCCTCGATACTCCATGGGCGTAACTGAGCGTAATCCCTGCTGTAGTATCAAGGATGCATTGACCCTCACCGGACAGATGGCTGTTCTTTTAATTGAACAAGCATATACGACAAAAAAAAACATTATTTGTACTAAATGTAATGGGATAAACAAGAGAATTTTAACCAGATTCCCCAAATAGCCAGCACCCTATATTGAATTTGCCTTTGTCCGGAAATCATAATTTCCTATGCATGTCATCTCATGTAACTGATTGGCTAAATGAAAATTAATTTTATTCTGTTGATTTTTTTCATACATATATTGATTGACCGATACAGAATGCATAGAAATGCCCACTGTAACCTATACTTAAATTCAGCTTGTAAGCCGCTGATATTCGTGAATTATCATCGTCAGTAAATGAATATTTGATGTGTCCCGCTATATTAAGAAAAGATATGAAAACACTTATCCGCGTGTAATATTGTAGCGGAACTGGACTTGGTTGATTGTCGGCGACCAGGAAGCTCAATTGGTAGAGCGTCCGTCTAGAGTTCGGAGGGTCCCGGGTTCGAACCCATGTCTGGCTGTGCATTTTCCATCCTCTGTTACAGTGCACCAATTATAATATGATTTATTATTTCGATACATATCATGTACAGGTAACAGGGAGGCAGCTCTGAATCATCTCTGTTACAATATGGAAACGACAAAGCAAAGGGTTCATCCTTGACTATTCTGCAGTTGATGTTGATTAGGAATATTTTAAGTAGGAAATTAACTTAACGTGAATATTGGAGGGGGGAAAAAGAGAAAATATTTCAAAGTTTATAGGCAAGCTATATTTGAGAAAAAGTCTATTGCAGTACAATGGTTGATACCTTCTAATCAACTATGTACAATATTACAAAGTATTGTTTATAAATGACACTCTTAGCTGACTACTTTGACACTGGAGTCAGAATAAAAATTTATGGCCGAAAATGAGACGCTGTGGCACACAAAAAAAACAAGATCATTTGAAGACTACAATAAAGTCATTGATAAAATGCACAACGATATCAATTATTATTGTTATCTATAGTCAACCTCTTGGTACTATTGTTGTTGAGTTTCAGATCATAGGAAAACCTTACAATATCTATACCGGTAATTGTTTTGGGTCAATAATGATGTACCACAATTCAATGAAAATCAGCTTCACAGCTCAATGAAATTCCTCATTAAAAATGCAATATATTTGATATAATTGTTGGCTTTGGAGCTTCCAAACAAACATATTTCTGCTGCATTTAAAAGCTGCTAATAAAGGTCAAGCAACGTAAATAAAAAATAAAAAATAAAAAAAAATGTATACATGTTAGGGGAAAAAATGAAGCTAAAGTATGACAGTACTGGTAATAAATCTTTGTAATTATGAAATGTTACAGCACTGGAGAGCAAACATAGAAGGAGTGTATCTGTGTATCTGTGTATCTGTGTATCAAATTTTAACTCTTGTCCTCTAGCTTGGCATTCAATAAAAGCGATACTAGGAAGATGGGAAAAGTTCAAGAGAGAACCATGCGTTTAATAGAAATGATTTTACTACCCCAGTTAAAGACATTTTTATTAGAAACAACTTTTATTTTTTACATGTTTGCCGTCTCAAGACAATGGCTAGGGAGGTCTACAAAATGTGTAATGATATTGCACCTGATTTTTTAAGAGCTCTTATTGATAGAAACCAAGTTTTATATAATTTCAGGAAGAAAGATACGGTCAAGATTCCAAGGGTAAATACCACTACTTTTGGTAAGAGGTCTCTTTGCTTTGAAGCCGCCCAGATGTAGAAGAGTCTACCTAATGAGATGCGTCAAGCTAAAAACTTCAGAGTGTTGTGTCGACTGTTGCGCACCTGGGGTAGTGAACTCTGCAAATGCTCTCTATCAACTGGAATAGGCTTTTTCATTTTTGTTTGTACTCTGTGATATCCGCCATGACTATTTTTTTTAGTTAATTGTCACGGGTTTTATATCAGTGTTTATGCAATACACCTTTTAAACCGCTGGTTTTGTAATTGTTCTTATTTTGTGTTCTCTTTAAAGTGCATTTAAAAATGACTGCATTATTATTTTATAATTTGGTGTTATAGGGCTAGGTAGGTAGGGATTGGCCCAACCACCTGTCCTGTGACACCCCACACATATATCATATATATTGTTATTTTCTTATATAACTTTAGTGTATTTTATTTAGCTCACCTATATTTAAGTCATCCATGTAGGCCTATGTTTATTCGCATGTTGATTTTGTTTCTTTCAAATTATATCTATGTTTGTCGCAGAAATAGCTCTACCGAGCTAATGTTTGTTTATGGTATGCGACGTTATTTTTTTATTTATTTTTTAAATCTGGGCGAAACGCAAAAATAGACAGGTGCTTAAAGGGAAGTAACTCTTATTGAAAATAATAGAGCCCTTACTTTTTACGCTTAAATGTTTTTCTACATGTAGAGCGCTCTAGATATGATTTAGTGTTTATAGCAATCAATGAAAACAAAGATATAATATAAGAAAATAATATAAATATGGCGTATTCAGCTCGTGTTGTAATGTCTATAAATAGACAAATATGTTGGAATACACCGTTAACGTCAGAGCACAAATTGATCCAATCAAAATGCTTGTTATAAGTCTATTCGGGCATAAGGGCACATGGATACGAAAGTGTGTATTACCAACGGAGCATCAAAACAATCAATATGGCGCACTGTCTATTGTTAACTGGCTAGGTGGATTGTGAGCAAAAAGAATGCGATTTACATACCATATACGTAATAGATCAATGTGATCGCATGTCAATGTTTGAGTGGAAATATCTATAGGACTTCTGCAAGGTGCGCTAATGCAAGTCAGCACATGCTTACAAAGTGGTCACCGTAAGTCGTGCATTTGACAGTTCCGCTGTTCTGAACTCGTTCGGTCATGTTGCTTGTCAGGAGCTTGTTGGCTTCGGTACTTTCATGTACAACGATAGGATATTGACAAACAACCATGATGACATCATTAGGAAGTGGATTTTAATACATCAATGTTGAGAAAATGGTAAATTTGTAGCACTCAATTTCGACAGATCCATCTAAGCCGAAGCTTTTATGTGTATTGCGTTGGATTTTACCGTTAAATTTTGTAGTGTTGTTCGTTCACGGATTAGCACATATGTAGTGATAGCTAACAAAGGGTACCAATGCAATGGCTACATATGTCTACGTTTATCATTAGCTTATTATTTCCGGTGTCCTAATTTATGTTTGAAACATATAACTTATTGCGTTTAGGTAGATGGAAAAGAATTTCGTTTGCACATAAACAAATTTAGGCTTCTTGACAAGATGAGTACCACATTGATAGAACTGCCTCCTACAACCCCAAAACAACATGGAGGTAAGAAGGGAGCCCCAGGATTGATCACACTGTCCGAGAATCAGGTGATCCCAGTGGCGAACATCCCGCTCACACCGCGAGCCCCTCAGCTTAACGGGGCAGCAAAGAGGGGTGCTTCTGGCCCCATTGTAACGACAAGTGATGAAGAAAGTGATGGGTGTAGTAGTCCTCGGTCAAACATTTCGCACAACTTATCATATCAACCTAAACATCAGTCATCCTCGCAAAATCAGCATCACCAACCACAACCTCCGCAATCACAATCACAACAGCGGGCGTACGAGGCATATGAACATGATCATGATTACGAAAATGTGGCTTCACCGAGTGGGAGCAGCACCGCTAGTGGACCTGTTTATGTGCGACCACCAGGCTTCAGACACCACGCACAGGAGATCAAAAAAACAAAAAAGAAAAAGACAGCTTTACTTGAATTTAGATCATCAGGCCTGAAAAAGCGGGCTCCAACGCCACCAAAAGTCCGCCCAAAGAGAGGTATTAATTTTATTTCTTACATTTTAATGGTAAACCTCATACTTCATTTGTATATTGAGATGGTGATTTATTTGGTCCTGTTTTCATGAAAATCTTCTCATGCTCAAACTCAGATTTTGTGCTCAAGTCTGATTTCATACATTAATTAAAAACAAAACATTTGGTCAATGACTGAGACGAATTTTGGGAGAGACTAAAAAGCTGAATACTGTTTTGTTTGTACTTGACGTTTTGGCGGTGTAACATGATTTGGACGTTTGACTTCAGCACAGAATCTGTACTTGAGAACAGTTTCATGAACACTGCAGGCACAATTTTGTTATTTTGTTTTCACTCAACAGAGATCAGACTAAGGCACTTATATTTAATCATGCGCCTGGAGGTAGGGGGCAGACTGGTGCTGAAAAATGTAGGTGGAGTTTCCTTAGGTCAAACAAGATCATCTACTGCACAATTGTTATATTGTAATGGCTATAATTATATGTATATATGTATTTTGCTGCAGTCATTTATAGTATGATCCTGCATTATTGTACTAGTGTATAGGGAGCATGGAGTGTTTAGCTTTTCTGTTGGGCATCAATCTTTATGTTTGTACAGTATGTACCCCTTCTTTGTCAGACATTGCTATAGCTCCATTCCCTTATACTAGAAATCCCACAATGGATACATAGCTGGGACACTAGACCAATATATCAAATGTAGGTCACTCAGTGACCTCACCAACTTCGGTTATACTTTGCATTTTAGCTCCATTTCGTTAGATATGCGCTTAGTTCTATTTCCGTCAGAAGTTGGAGCAGCTACATGTATTTTGTAAAAACATCTTTATTTCATTATCTTTGTAGAAATAGCTGATCCAAATATTACTTTACTTTCAAGAATAGTGTTGATCACTGTATATATTACACATGATATACGAATAGTGTAGATCACTGTATATATTACACATGATATACGAATAGTGTAGATCACTGTATTACCTATTATATATTACCTATGATATATACGAATAGTGTAGATCACTGTATATATCACCTATGATATATGAATAGTGTAGATCACTGTATATATCACTTATGATATACGAATAGTGTAGATCACTGTATATATTACCTATAATATACGAATAGTGTAGATCACTGTATATATCACTTATGATATCCGAATAGTGTAGATCACTGTATATATCACCTATGATAGACAAATAGTGTAGATCACTGTATATATCACCTATGATAGACAAATAGTGTAGATCACTGTATATATCACCTATGATAGACAAATAGTGTAGATCACTGTATATATCACCTATGATAGACAAATAGTGTAGATCACTGTATATATCACCTATGATATAGGAATAGTGTAGATCACTGTATATATTACCTATGATATGTACGAATAGTGTAGATCACTGTATATATTACTTATGCTATATGAATAGTGTAGATCACTGTATATATCACTTATGATGTACGAATAGTGTAGATCACTGTGTATATTACTTATGATATATGAATAGTGTAGATCACTGTATATACCACTTATGATATACGAATAGTGTAGATCACTGTATATATTACCTATGATATACGAATAGTGTAGATCACTGTATATATCACTTATGATGTACGAATAGTGTAGATCACTGTATATATTACTTATGATATATGAATAGTGTAGATCACTGTATATATCACCTATGATATATACAGTGATCTACACTATTCATATATCATGGGTGATATATACAGTGATCTACACTATTCATATATTACTTATGATATATGAATAGTGTAGATCACTGTATATATCACTTATGATAGACAAATAGTGTAGATCACTGTATATATCACCTATGATAGACAAATAGTGTAGATCACTGTATATATTACCTATGATATATACGAATAGTGTGGATCACTGTATATATTCCCTATGATATACGAATAGTGTAGATCACTGGATATATCACCTATGATAGACAAATGGTGTAGATCACTGTATATATTCCCTATGATATACGAATAGTGTAAATCACTGTATATATTACCTATGATAGACAAATAGTGTAGATCACTGTATATATCACTTATGATATACGAATAGTGAGTATGTTAAGTATACTCTCTATTCATGTGATACCTGATGTTCATGTTGAAAATAAGAATCACATGAAATATAAATCATCTGCAGTATTCAAAGACGTTTGCTTTATTGGGTTCAGCATCCTATTCAATGCTAAGGCATTTAAGGACGTGCCTCGATATGTATTAATGCATGTGTGTGTGCTGGGGTGGAGGCCGTTAATGTTGGTGTATTTGCCTCGTTGTGATAGTGCAGATCTGATGCCAACTTTAGAGTGCTATCTAACTGATATATATACCATGGTGAAGGCACCCAGTAGAGTGTTCAACCTGGTCACATTATACTGACAACAGGTTAACCAGTTGCCAATGCCATTACCCTAAATGCTGAACATGAGGTATGTCCCACCTATTGCCTTCTTCACCTGGGCAAATGTTCAACACTCAGGTTAAGAGTGAAGCAAAGAGGTTGTTAGGAAAAGAGGGAAAAGACAAATATCCCAATGTTGCCATGGGTGTGCAGATTCATTTTGGTTGCTCTTGTCCCTGGGTAAATTAAGGCACAAAAGCAAATCCCTATGCTGCAGGATGTTCCCACATTAGTTGTTTCTTACATCATGCAGTGGGAAACAGCAGGCACACATTCTTTGTATGTTACAAGTAGCATATCCCTTTAACATTGAGCACCATACATTAATGCAAAATGGACATTTTTTAAAACCTTGTGTACAAAGTGATGTAAAATTGATAACTTTTCATCCTGTGACACAAGTTTGGATTTGAAGCACATGCAACATTGATTATTATGTGATACATGTATACATTATAGCAGATCTATGTAAATACACATGCTCATTTATATAACATCATCAGAGGTATAAAGTCTTAGATACACTGTTTACAATCAATACCACTAGGTAGATTGTGGTCTGTAGGAAATCACCAGGATCAGGTCATTTATGAAATATTAACAGCTTGTTGACAGTAAACTTTGTAAATGTCCCTCGGGCAATACCTTTAACGAGTCTCATATTGATATTTCCAGGTAATCAGATTGATAGAACCCTAGCATAACGCCATCTATATATGAATAGCTGTATTTTCATTTTCAAATTGTGTCGACTTAAATTTTGCTTAAACATCTCTGGATCGAAGTACATGTAGTGTATAGGATTAGAAATTAAAATTCAAGTAACTATGTAGAAACTATGTTATTGATAATTTTGCTGTTGTTCAAGTGTGAGTTACCTATATATACACGTAACTGTCATTGTCTACGAGGTATTAACTTTCTTGCATGGTTACAATACCATTTTTAATGTCAACTTACTTTATTACTTATATTTTGTTAGAACCTCTATTTCTGATCATTACATTACCGTTATTTTTTGTATAAATATTTATCTTTCTTTTATCAGAAATGAGTAATTAGATATTTGAACTTCTCAAAATTCATGTTTCATACTCAAATTGGTATGGTTTAAAAACAGATGTGAATGTAACACATCAGTGGGCACCATAGCAAAGAAAGACTCATACCTTGTCCGTGTAAGTTAGAAAAACAATGGCCCTGTCTTTTAATCTCGATTTAAATAGCCAATATCGCAGTACAATCACATGGAGCATTTGAGCTTTTTCTGGGAGTTACAGAGTATTGATTTGTGGATAATAAGCTTATCTGACCAACCAATCAGTCAATATATTGATACCATGTACAATTCCATGTTGACCAAGTAAACAGTAAAGCTATATAACACAACACAGCAGTCACGTTTAATTCGTGCAAAAACTTTCTGAATATCTTACTGTGTCTTGGTTAATTTAGAACATTAATAAGGATATTAAAATAACTTTGACATTGATTATGGTTTACTGCAAACAATTATATGTACACTAAAACCTTGACATTTAATTGTCAAATTGCTTATGGCGAACATATCTTTCAAGGTACCCTTCAGTTTTCCTTTTTGCGAATGATGCCTTTATATATGTGTCCCACAACAAGTCCTATAACCAAACCCTTTTATAATGAGACGGAGACTCATGATCTTGTACTTTGACAAATACGGTTACCATATAATGTTAGATTGAAACAATTTGGTGATACATGTCAATGTTTTCCTCAATGAAACACTTTGGTGATACATGTCAGTGTTTTCCTCAGTGAAACACTTTGGTGATACATGTCAGTGTTTTCCTCAGTGAAACACTTTGGTGATACATGTCAGTGTTTTCCTCAATGAAACAATACACATCTTGGATGCCTTATATCGTTGTCTAGAGTTTGGAGGGTCCGGGTTCCAACCCCGGGCCTGGCTGTGCATTGGTCCATCTCCTGTTACATACAATTTGTGTGTCTTCATTGTTATAGCAACAAATTGTATCAGTAGACTGTACAGTATTACAAAAAAACTTGTGAATATACAATAATAAGTGTCCATGATAGACAGGTGAACTCACCTTAGCAGGATAAAGTGTGAGAGTTGGAATGTACATGATAAAGTTCGAGAGCTGGACTGTACATGATAAAGTGTGAGAGCTGGACTGTACATGATAAAGTGTGAGAGTTGGACTGTACATGATAAAGTGTGAGAGTCGGACTGTACATGATAAAGTGTGAGAGTAGGACTGTACATGATAAAGTGTGAGAGTAGGACTGTACATGATAAAGTGTGAGAGTAGGACTGTACATGATGAAGTGTGAGAGTAGGACTGTATATGATAAAGTGTGACAGTTGGAATGTACATGATAAAGTGTGAGAGCTGGACTGTACATGATGAAGTGTGAGAGTTGGACTGTACATGATAAAGTGTGAGAGCTGGAATGTACATGATAAAGTGTGAGAGCTGGATTGTACATGATAAAGTGTGAGAGTTGGACTGTACATGATAAAGTTTGAGAGCTGGACT